CATTTTTATAAATCTATACCTTGCCACGTGGCTGGTGGCTTACCAGAGTCTTTACATGCTGCTTCTCCTGGTGGTGGCTGCAGTGTCCCTCTCCTTAGCCTTCTGCTTCCCAGAATTCTCCTCTCTCCTTGTCCCACCTACTTCCTGCCTGGCCACCTACTTCCTGCCTGGTCATTGGCCATCAGTGTTTTATTTATATAGAACGATATCCACAGCAGGGGGGCAGAGGGATAATGTAAATATATACTTACCCTACTTTCTCCACACTAATTCCAGACTCACAGCATTTAGCTTGCATTTGAGTGTAAAGTTATTTGGGGAGAGGCATACTTTTGTATACACACGTATACACACACACACACACACACACACACACACACACACACACACACACCCTGTGGAAGCCAGAGGAAGGCATCAGATTCCAGCATCTGGAGTCACAGGCAGTCAGTTGTGAGCTGCCCACTGTGAGTGCTGGGACTGACCTTAAATCCTGTAGAAGAACAGTCGGTTCTGCTAAGCACTGGGTAATCTCTTCAGAGCAGACAGTCTGGATGCAGGCTAGCCTCACAGGTGTGACAATCCTCTGTCCACCTTAGCCTTCTGTTGGGATGACAGGTGTGAGCCCCCACGGCTTAGCTGGAAGTCTGAAGGCATCCATAGGAAACACCCATTTGTCTACACAGGAGGGTGCGTTACCCCAGACAGCCTCAGAGGTGGTGCATTGGGCTCACTGGGGAGTCCCCAGTCTCAGCCACTGTGGCTTTCCCGGGCTGTGTGAAGAGGGCAGACACACTTTCATTCCAGTTTAGACAGCTCTCAGCCAGAAAGGCTGACACAGACCGCAGTGGATGATGCACGGGATCTGAAGCCACATAGAATAAGTGTCAGCTCTGGGCTGGAAGGGTAAGAGAGTCTGCTGTTCAATTAAGGCCCAGAGTTCAGACCCCAGCACCCCAGTAATAAGCCAGGAGTCCCACAAAGGGATCAAACACCCTCTTCTGGCTTCTTACAGATGAGTGCATGCAAACGAAACAGGAGCACACACACACAGCACCAATCAAGAAAGACAGACAGATGGGCTGGCTTTAAATCTGAGGTGGAGTGGATCCTCTCTGGGCTATTTTTCTCCTGTCTCAAAGCATCCCGTGTGGAGTGCACTCCTTACGGCAGCATTCACCCATACAGGCCTGGGAAACAAAACAACAATCTACAAGGTAAAGCAGAACAGAGAGACAGGAGAGCAGAGGGACAGAGGAACAGAGAGGGACTCTCTGGTCTCAGGCAGAACTGGGGTTCATAACTACACAGCAAAAATGACAGCTTAGCCTCAGAGGGAAGCTGAGGAGCTGTGAAAGGGGTCCTGTGAGTGTGTGTGTCCCAGGAGAGACCCACAAGTCCCGGGCTTCCCTAAGTCACACATGGGAGGGGCAGGACCCTAAGACTCAAACTAAGAAGGGATCCATGGACCACTGGAGGCATCAAGGCCTGAGGTATGAACTAGGTTGATGGGCTGTAAAGACAGAAAAAACATTTCCAAGCCTAGCAGCGGTGGTGCACGCCTTTAACCCCCTCAGGAGGCAGAGAGGCAGGAGGATCTCTGTGAGTTCCAGGCCAGCCTGATCTACAAAGTGAGTTCCAGGACAACCAGAACTACAAAGAGAAACCCTGTCTGGGGGGGCGGGGGAGAAAGAAAGAAAAGAAAGGAAGGAGGGAGGGAGGGAGGGAGAAGGACATTCTCAGAGTGGCTAACAGGATTGTAACAGACTCTACACAGTGTAAAAGTCAAACTGTCCAATTTACAACCTCAAATAACTTGTCTCATAAAAGAGCGGAAGCACGCATCTGATTCCAAAGGACAGGACAGTGCAGGCTGCAGAGATGGCCAGCAGTTGGGAGGGCTTGCTGCTCATGCAAAAGACTGGAGTTCAGATCCCAGCACCCAAGTCAGGTGGCTTGCAAACCCCTGTAACCCCAGCTCCAGGGGATCCTCCACTCTTCCGCCCTCTTCCTTCTGGTCCCTGCAGTCCTGCCCCACCCCCCTCAACACACAACAAATAACTACAGATAAAAACAAGTCTTTTTTTCTAATTTATTTAACTGTATTTTATGTGCATTGGTGTGAAGGTGTCAGATCCCCTGGAACTGGAGTTACAGACATTTGTGAGCTGCCATGTGGGTGCTGGGAACTGAACTGGGGTCCTTTGCAAGGACAGCCAGTGCTCTTAACCCCTGAGCCATCTCTCCAGCCCCCTAAAAACAAGTCTTAAAAAACAAGACAGTAGGTGCAGATGTGGCCTGAGATGGCACAGGTAATGGGATTGATGGCAATCACAGCCACCTCACAGAAGGTGGAGGCTGACACACTCCAGACCTGGAAACATGGGGCTTCTCAACGGAAGGGCAGAAGCCACAGATGAGGACAAGATGAGTGTTCCACAGCTGCAAATGCTCTGGGATGGGAGGTGGCTGGGGAGACTCAGTGGCATTTGTCTGAGGACAGTCTGTGATCTCGACCACCCTGTCCGGTTGGGCAAGCTTCCTGGGCCTATGGACAGCTCAGTCTGTAAGTCCTTGCTTTCCATATGCAATGATCTGGGTTTGATCCCCAGAATTTACAGTTTAAAGTGCTGGGCATAGGGGTGTGCATTTATAATCCCAGAGAGCTGAATTGGTGAGCACCAGACCAATGAGAGACCCTGTCTCAAAAGCCTTTTTGAGGAAGAACACTCAAAATTATCCTCTGGCTCCCCACCATGGACACACACATGTACCTGCACAAACACACTGTTAAAGAAAAAAGACTGAGCCGGGCGGTGGTGGCGCACGCCTTTGATCCCAGCACTTGGGAGGCAGAGGCAGGTGTATCTCTGTGAGTTCGAGGCCAGCCTGGGCTACCAAGTGAGTTCCAGGAAAGGTGCAAAGCTACACAAAGAAACCCTGTCTCGAAAAACCCAAAAAAAAAAAAAAAAAAAAAACCCCAAAAAAAAAAAAAGAAAGAAAGAAAGAAAAAAGACTGGGGGCTGAAAAGATGGCTTAGGGGTTAAGAGCACTGGCTGCTCTTCCAGAGGACCTGGGTTCAATCCCAGCACCCACATGGCAGCTCACAAATGTCTGTAACTCTAGGATCCGACAGCCTCACACAGACATACATGCAAGCAAAATACAAATGCACACAAGACAAAAATAAATTATAAAAAATATTTTTAAAAAGACTGTAGCAGAAAATGAAATATGCACAAAAAGACTCAAATTTAGTGGAAGGTATCAGTTTACAAATCAAATCTGTAAAAATCCAAGGAAAACTCTAATTCCACACATCACAGTCAACAGGACAGGACCTAAAGGGAAGGCCGCACAGTAGCCATGCACAGGAGAGCTGCCCAAGAGAGGCTGAGTAGCCACAGAGTGTTCATCAGAAACATGGGAGCCAGAAACCTGCAGCCACTCAAAGAGAAGGCATTGCCAATGCAGAATACGGTGGCCAGGGAGAGACCTCAGAGCTGGGAGGAGGAAAGGCCAAGATCCACTGTGCAGCCCCACCTCAGACATGCAGGGGAAGGCTTCCAGAGCTGATCCGAATCTTCAGGAAATGGAAGAACAGAAAAGGAGACTGAGGCAGAAAGAGCCAAGATGAAGGACAGCCTGTAGTCACAGCCAGAACGTCTCAGAAAAGCAAAATGAAAATAAGAATGTTAGATATGGTGGAGAAATCCTTTTGTTTAAACAGCAACATATAAAATATGTATGACTGTACAGCAACAGGTACACTGTGGTGAGATTCTCAGGGTATGAAGTCACAGTGCACATGGCTCTGGCATGTCAATCATGACGGGATAATGCTAATACTAAGGTGTGAGTGTGACTATTGCAATCTCTAGTGTGACTATTAAAATAACAGAGCACCCGCCATGCCATCGGATTCAGATGCTGAGGCAGGAGAATCTTAAGTTCTAGATCTGTTTGGGCTATACTGAGCAATAGAGTGAGACCTTGTTTCAAAAGAAAAAGATGGGGGGGCCCCCCCGCTGGAGAGATGGCTCAGTGGTTAAGAGCACAGACTGTTCTTCCAGAGGTCCTGAGCTCAATTCCCAGCAACCATATGGTGGCTCACAACCATCTGTAATGAGATCTGATGCCCTCTTCCAGCACACATGCGAAACACTCATATATAAAATGTAAATAAAATTAAAAAAAAAAAAAAGAAGGGCAGAGGATGGTACAGGGACCCAGACTTGGGAACCATATATGGGTTGTGTGCAACCTGAGTGCTAAGGATCCAGGTGAGACCTGCTTCTCAGAGCTGGGGCTGAACCCAGCAAACGTGGAGCTGCACATAGGAGAGGGACGAGGGTCAGGGGAGCTGGACACCCTCAGGCTGGGCTTCAGGGATGGCGGGCAGCACGGTGTGAAGCCTTCCTGGCAGCCTGTGGACACTGCTGTGCTGTGCCCACCACCGTCAGCAATAGAGGCCCCACTGGTAGGCAGTCAGGCCCGTGCAGTGCTGTTCTGCCCTGCTGGGGGGAGGGGGCCTGGCCGCATCCTGACCTAGTCACCCTTGACCTGGCCCCATCCTCACAGCACGCTGCTCACCTCCTTAGAAAAAAAAAGATGGTGGTGTGTCTCCATGGAAGAGCACTTATGAGAGTTCTTGGGGTCAGTTTCTAGCACACAGAGCAACAACACTCATAATCAATACAGAGGGATGCAGCCAGAAAACCGAGGTTCATTAAATGGAATATGAGAATATTTCAAACACAACGAGGCGGGGGGGGGGTGCAGGGAGGGGGACAGAGAGACAGAAAGAGTCGGGGGTGGGGGTGGACTGGGAACTGAGAATTAGTAGACCCCAGTCCATATTAATGTTTTTGTTTTTTTTTTTAATATTTCTTTTTATGTTGGGCGGTGGTGGCACACGCCTTTAATCCCAGCACTCGGAAGGCAGAGCCAGGTGGATCTCTGTGAGTTTGAGGCCAGCCTGGTCTACAGAGCGAGATCCAGAACAGGCACCAAAATGACACAGAGAAACCCTGTCTTGAAAAACAAAAACAAACAAACAAAAAGATTTCTTTTTATTTGAGTGTATGCCACATGCGTTTGTGGAGAACTGCCACAGTCAGAAGAGGGGATAGGATCCTGCAGCGCTGGAGTCACAGGGGGTGGTGAGCATCCTGACGTGGGTGCTGGGAACTGAACCTGGGTCCTCTGGAAGAACAGCAAGTACTTTTAACTTAAAAGCCGTCTCTCTGACCCCAATCATGTATGTGTGTGCACCATGTGTTCTGTGTGAAAAACCTGACCATATTTTTGGAGGAATATGGAAGACTTTGGACTAGAAAAGCAGTTGAACTTGTAAGCAGGTCCTAACAGGTCCCCCCAGTGAGATCCCAGAAGACAGTTCTGAAGCAGTGTGGGCTCTGGAAGAGAGAAGGAAGGACTGGTTGGCTTGTCTTGAGACAATCTCTGTGTAGTGCGGCCTTGGGACTCTCCATGTAGACCAGGCTGGCCTCAAACTCACAGAGACCCACCTGCCTCTGCCCCCAGTGTGTGTGTGTGTGTGTGTGTGCGCGCGCGCGCAGGCGCGCGCGCGCGCGCGCCACCACACCTAGATAAAAGCAAAGACTTTTAACAGTAACTGGGCCAGAAGCCAATCTTGTGATATTTTGGCAAAGAATGTGGCTGCTTTCTGTCCTTGTCCTAAGAATTTGCCAGAGGCTAGATTTAAAGTGATGGACAAATTTTTCTAGCGGAGATTTCAAAACAGCCTAATACTGACTATCACATGATTATTAGTATGCAGGTCTACTATGAAAAGGAGCAAGTGGGGCAAAAATTAAGTGGAGACGTAGTCTAAAGTGGAAAAGGGCACCCGGAAATGTAATGTTGGAGCCAAGGCTGTGCTGACAGAGATGTAGAAGTAAAGGAGAGCCAAACCCAGGGCAAGACCCCACCCAGCTAAACTCCAGCTTGTGAAAGGAAAAGGCCTTAGGAATAAACAAAAGCTGCTATAAAGGTGATTCAAAGGGGCCGGGGCTCATCCGAAGCAGGCAGCCAACTTGGCAGTGTCGTCCATGTGATTCTGGCATCATGAAGGATATATGTGTAAAGAGATTATGGAATCTTCCTCCAAGGTTAAGAAGAGCCACTGAGACCAGACAGTATGTGGCCGGGCAGTTCACACATGAAGGCCCTGCGAGGCCATCGCATGAAGCAATGAAAATAAAGCCTGGGCTGTTAGAGCCCCCCATGTTGGAGGTATAAGAGTAGTGGGGTACCTGCCAAGAACTGTGGGGGAGCAGCTTAAAAGATGGATCTGCAGCCAAGCAAAGCTGGAGGGTAGGGCCATCCAAGTCCTCTGACGTTCGACAGGGTGTTACAGGACTTGAAGTTTACCCTGCTGGGTTTCAGTCTCGCTTTAGTTCAGTATTTCATCACTGTGCCCCCCCCCCTTTTGGAATGGCAATGTATAGTCTGTGCCTTTATGTGTTGGAAGTATGTGATTTGCCTTTTGAGTTTACAGGGGTTCCACTAAGAGACTGGCTTGAATTTTGGACCTTTAAACAGTGTTGAAACTGGGAGAGTATGAGGACTTTCTAC